CCATTTACATGAGCTCTCAAGCTGCATTTGGGGGCTCAAAAAATGAACATTATAAGGCCAGTGTAGTACGGAAAACACATCTTAATGTCTCAACAACTTGGGAATTTGTGTAAAACTGAACATCCTCAGAAAATTATCAGTTACACTGCATGAAGATAATTTCCAGCCATTGTTCCTTGGATGTTTAGTTTCACAGTGAAATATTATCTAGCTTGAAAACATTGCCTCCCATGATAAAAAAAAAAGAAGAGGCCTTGTGGGCATTTGGTAGCTAAGTAAAATGTGTCTTATTGTGACAATGATAGAATAAATGAAAGAAGACAGTAAGAATTTTAGACACTGGACACCATTCATTTCCTATCAACACTATTACAAAGTTCTTCACAGCTGGTGCACCATGGTCCTGGGTGTCACCTCATCTTTTTGCATAAACACATAGCAGATGGTTGGGTCAGTAATGCTTGTGAAATCAAACCATGTCTTCTCTTTAGTATGTAAAATAGAATATGAAATACAGGATCTACTTGTGCAAACCACTTTGACCTCGCGACTATCTTTTGTAATCTTCTCTTCCTGGCTTCCCGTTTTGCAGAACTGCACTCTTTATCTAGACTGACTTTGTGGAGGTGTGTATTTGACAGTGTTGAGGAATGGACCTAATGTTGGGTCATGCTCTGGGTTCTGACTCTGTGTGTTCAACCTGGGGAGGTATTTCTGTGTTCTGTGAGTTTCTTTTCATAAAAATCACATGCAGAGCAAATTGTACCTGTGTTTCTGCCTGACAAGAAGCTGTGGCTCCTTCAGGAACACAGTCTAGCATTAGGAATGTTAAAGCACTGCTGCAACCAAGTGATAGAGTTGAAGACATGTGTTTTATTTCTTCACAACTGGGAGCTGAGAATAGACAAAATGTTAATGTTGTGTACATAATGTGCACAGTACAGGTTGCATACATAATACAAGTGAATCTGAAGTAATTCTGAGGAAGTGACATGAAGACAAATCAGGTTTACTCTTTTTCTGGAGGGTATATTTTGGTGTAATTGTGATAGCATCTTGTGTAAATACTGCAAAAAGAAGTGCCATATTGATCGCAGTAATGATTTGCTCAGAATGAAGTGAGTCTATCTTCTTTACGTCCTTATGTTTCCTATAAACTGGTATTTCAAAATGGGGAATGAAGAAAGAGTCCAAGAAATAATATATTGCAAGAGTTGCAAGAGAGTTGAGACAATGCAGTATTTTATTTGCCCCAAAGCAAAGGAGATCAGGCAGCACAGCAGGACACACAGTATTTTCTACCTTCTGTCTGCTAGAAAAAGAACATGCTGCCTGTGTTTGTAGGCTGATTATTGGAAACCTGAGCCTCTAAAATATGTTTACAGGAAATATCTTCTGAGCTACACTGAGTCTAACAACTTGATTTGAATGAGCATTAGTTTGCAGCTCTGCTGTCATGTGGTTCATCCTCACCTCCTTGTCCACTGCAGTTTCTTGTTCCTCAAATTTGCCAGTATTATCAGCAAACAGTCCTTCCCCATCCTAAGCTTGCTAGAGAGCTTTGGTTTTGCATTGTACCTTTTGCAAAGTGTTCTGTTTTGCTCTTTTTCTTCTGTCCAAGTATTCTGGAGAGAAGTTGGGTGGGGTGGTGGAGTATTTTTTTTTGTTTGTTTACTTTTAATGTGGTGTGTTTGGATTTATTTTTATTGTTTTAAGACTTTTAGGTTATACCAACATGTGCCATTTTGGCTCACCTCCAGTCAAAGTAGCTCTGTTTTTCCCTGATTACCTAATAGACAATATCACACCTGGTGTCATGGGTTGCAGGTACCTTTCAGAGATGTTGACACCACATTTAATTGCAAAGGAGCAGTGTTAGTTGTGCCTTCCTTCCTGGAATGATTTAGCTGCTGCTATCCAGTGAGTCAGAAAGAAGGAAGAAGGAAGCATGAAGGAGAAAGTGAGGGATTTCCAATGACAGCATGTACACTCCCTGTTATTTTTGTGTTTGGTTTTTATCATGCTGGTGTTTTTCTACACAAAATAGTGTCACGCACTTCACTTTCTGCAGTACTTTGGAATAATGGTGTGGCAGATTTAATGGAGAAATTATGTTCTCCTTGGTTTATGTGGTAACCCTGGATGCAAGTATAAGTGATTGGGGAAAGAAAAAGCCTCACTATGTATAATTTCTGTATGGAGAAGGATCTGAGTGGCTTTTAAAATCTGGCAGCAAGCTCTAAGGTTTGAATTGCCATCATCAGTCTATTGCAAAACAATTTCTGAATGGTTTTAATTAAGCAAAACCATGCTGCAGTCTTTAATAGAATGTGGTTTTTTTGGGTTTTTTTCTGTAATGAAGCTGTCTTAATGCAAAAGGCCAGAGAAAGAAGGCAGAACATGTAAAGAAGATGGTCCTGTAGTGCAGTCTACAGTAGTACTACACTCTCCTATGGTTTTACTGCTATTACAGGGCAATATCATTTAAAAACTTTACAATGTAGGGTGCAAAAGGGCTTGAATTGGTCCCCAGTTAGAATTGTTCATCTGCAAGTGCCATTGGCATCTCAGAATGTAATACCTGGGCATGTGCTGCTGGTCTTCAGTTTAGTTGTTACAGCTAAAGCTGCACTTTGACAGTTCTTAATCAGGTACCAAAGTGCAATAGAACTGGAGTGCAATTGAAAACTGTGGATGTGTCAAAGAGGAGGACTTAAAGACAGCCTCTAGAAATGTAGTTGAAAACCCAAAGTTGCTTTCAGAAGGGGGTGCAGAGCAGGAGGGCACCTGCAGGAGGTCAGAAATTGCAGAGAGATCGGTAGGGGTAGGTCTTGCCTTCTCTTCAGAAGTTGAATTTTTTTTTTTTTTTAATCTCACAGATGAGCTGATTTTAAAACATATCACCAACCTCAGTGCTGCTTTGCAAGATGGGTGTGACTTGCTGAAGGCAGTGAACAAGTTAGGAATATGACTTGGCAGCAAAGAAGTTCAATGTAGTTACTAGGTCACATTGTCTCTATTTTACAGATACCTGAGCTAAGCCACAAAGTTGAAAAGGATTTGCCTGTCTCCACAGAACTAATCTGGTTTTTGTCACAGTGTTGAAAATAGAATTTTTAGATTCCTTTATCATCTCTGCCATTTTAGTTTCTTCCTTTAAATTAAATAAATAATAACTGACCAGGTTTAAGTTTTGTATTAGATGTCTTGAAGGTGAAGGTGGTACAGTGTATTACAGGATATTAATGTAGTAGGTCCACAGTATCAGCCCTTGATCTTGTGACTGTGACTGGCAATGGCTTGCCTTGACAGTAGCCTTCATGGTGTCCAGGAGCTTTCACAGCACTTGCCCTGCTTTTAGAGTGGAAGAAGAAAAAAAGAACCCAACTAAATAAATACAGCTGAAGTTATAAAGAATATTAAATTGGAACTTCGCAACTGAATTTGCCAATATAAAAATGATTTTAAATAGTAGATGACTTTTTTTCCTGATAACTTGCATATCACAGTTATCCCAAAAAGAGCTCCATGTAATGTTAGATGTCTCTGTCCTCATAGAGGAAAAAAAGCCAGGGTTAATGAAATACTTTGTAACTTCTCATCTGAACTGACAGTATTAGATGTGAACCTCAAGTTTGTTCTTCGGCCTTCACCTTGGACGATGAAAACCTAAGCTGCTTTGCAGGCCACTTCTATGAAGAGGTATAATTTTGCAAGAAATTTTAGATGCTTTGCTTACGAGTCCATGAAAGCACAGGGCTGGGTGCAGTTTCCCCAGTTGTTAAATCTGTTTTAACATTGGTGTAACAGTTTATTATATGGAAAACAAAGTTACCCCTGTCTAAACTGTCTTTTTTCGTTGCTATTATTCAGCTTACATTTGTTACTTTGTTAACATTCTGTTTATCTTAACACTTTTTTCACATCAGTGTTGAAAGCCCTTGTTATGGATCTCTGAAGAGCAAATTGTAACTCATCACAGCTTCCACTTTGCTGAGTTTAACAGTGTTTTTTGCAGAAGGTGGCTCTTCCTTGTCTGCACAAGCCTTTCTCTGAATGTTGCAGACTGAGCTGGAGGCTGTTCAGCTCATTGTAGCAAGTGTTCCTAATTTAGTTTCATTGCTGCTTCTTGTAGCAACAGGAGCACATTGCTGGTACGCCCTAGTGAAGTATCTCCCTTTTTGTGGCTCTGTTATCTGACACGAAGGCCTTCTTTCTTCTTGGTTTTTATCAACTGATAAGCTCCCAATTGGTAGCAGAAGTTCTTGTTAGTCTGCAGTGTGCTGTTTTATCTTAGTACTTTTTAACTTCTTTCTTTTACTACAGTTCTGGCTGTCCTTTGTTAGTTTTGCTGTAAACTGATGAATTGTATCTTGATTACTGCATCACGCATTTGAACACTGCTTTATGTATGAATTTTTCCTGAATTTAATATTTTGAGGAGTGCTTTTCTTATGATTGCATTTTTCTGTGAATTAAGGATTTACTTTTCTTAATCTTACTGTATATATTTATATGGTTGCCCTGTGTGTACATTTTAATAGAGAAGCATCTTCTCCACATAGGAACCCATTGACTTGCCATAGTTTTGTGGTACCACACTCAAAGATTTCTAACATGCACTATTGAAGCAAAATGGTAGATATTTCAGGTTAAAATTATACTGGAAGGCATGCTACTTGATAAGTTCATGCTTGGCCTTAAGATAAGAAGTTTGATCCATAGAGTTATTTCCTACCTCCCAGTTATACAGACTTTGTTCTCTGAGTGTAAATAAAGAGATGAAGGTGTGAAACTGAATGAATGATTTTGTTTCAAATTATAGAGAAGGTATGTTATAAAATGTTAATACTCAGCATTTATTCACAGGTTTTTAGTTGGGTTTAGTTCCTGTAGTTACTCCTTACTGCCCTGCTCCCCTCCCCACAAATCCTATACTACTAGCCTGTTTATATGGGTTCATTCAGTCAGAAATAATTTGTGCTCTTTGTGTCTTTCAGACTTCATTAAAAAAAGAACTGGATACATATGCTGAATTTAATTTGTGAAAGGTGGAGTAAGGTAAGATAATTTTAGTCATTACTACTGTAATGTGTGATGATCTGTTGACACTGAAGGCAAGAGTTCAAAGATTCATCATAAATTAGAGGCAGAGAAATCTAAAAGGAACTTTCAGCCTTGGAAATAATGAAGCACTGACAAGATCCAACATTCTGGTACCAGTGGCATGCTTTTACCCTATGGTTTGTAGTGTGAGTAGTTCATTATATTGGCCAGGGGTTTTCTGTTCTTATTTGGATGCATTGCCCATAGAAGGTGAAGAAGTTCAATAGCTAGTGACAGTATGATATGTTTGTATTTGGACAAATTATGTGTTTCTGGAAGTCTGTGAGATTTAAAGTACAGCCTATGATGAAAGGCTAATATTTGTTGCCTGTTTCTACCATGGAAGCAAACCAGTCTTTCTTTACTTTTTCTCCTTAACCATCCAGAGATATTGATGAAGAAGGCAGGTCTGCCTGTCACTGAGCATTGCTGTAGCATAGAGCAGTATCCTTCAGGATGGGATCTGAACCCTGGTAGGCACTTCACAACCATTTGTGAAGTATTTGCTTCTCCACAGTGAAAGAGCTGCTTTATGTCCCTTGTGTGGCAGGGTGCAGATGCTGATGGTCACATTTCTAGGCCCTGAGAGGGAAATCTCTGTCTCTGGGGCTCCTGTTAGCAGAAGTGAGAAGACTCTTGGCCACTTGTTTCCAAGCAAAGTTCAGTCATAGGACTCCTCTTGCTTCCTGTGTGCAGAGCAGCTGTGTTGAGAGCTAAGCAGCTGCTTCTGGCATTCCAGAGAGTAAGAGAAGTTGGGCCACATATGCTGATGAGATGAAGGGATGTGGCCTGAACTGCAAGGCAGTATGAAGCAGACTAATAATAAGAGTCTTCTGGTAGAGGCAGGAAGTTTTGCTGGTGTGGGAGTAGGAAGTAGTGAGAGGTGTAACAGGATGCTCTTGGTCAAATGTGGTGCTTATGGTTGCATTCAGAAATGGAGGGTGGACCTCAGTGTCCTTGTCCCTGATGTAGTGCCCTTAGTCCCCATTTACGGAGTTCAGCAAATAATGAATGGTGGAGTAGAGTCAATGGTGAGCAGTATTGACTTCTCAGAGATGTTATTCCCCTGCTCCTGCTAAGGGAGATCAAATTCCTTTGTAAGGTCAAGCAGACAAAGTCAGCAGATGCACTTTCTCCTGCAGCATTGCTTTTCTTGTGTTAAATGTGTGTCTTAATGCAGACTGAGAATCAATTACTGGAAAGTCTAGAGAGGTGTGCTGCCATGGCTGTGCCTACATCTGAAATTAAAGCAAATGGTCGATACCATGGACTCAGTTATTTAATTGGGGCAGAATGGAATAGAGTGCACAACAGGATGCTCTAGGGGCTTATGTACAATTTTTTTTCTTTTGACCATCTTGAACTGCTCAGTGAAGAACAACTTGGGAATCAGGCATGCACTTACAGATCTTTCTCCATACCAAGAGGGCCAGGATAAAGTTGCCAGCAGCAAATTAGCATGGCCAGATCCTGTAGCTATTTTGTGACTTAAAAGGAATTGCAGTAATACTAGTCATTCATACTATCTTTCTTTCTTTTATTAATCATTGTCTGCATTGGAAAAGAAATGCCTGAGGCAATTCTTCATGTCCATCCAATGTAGTGCTGTTTCTTGCTGAAGAAATTAAAAAAGAATTGTCATTCTACCCCAAGACAGCTATGACTTCTCCCCTGTGGGGTCTGTCTCCACACTTGCAAAGAAATCCATAATAATAGAGCAAAAAGCCAGCATTTGGGGCTCCCCTACAGGGACAGCATATCATCCTAATTAAGTGTTTCTCAAGTACAGCCCTGGCTGTGCAACCCACTCCATTTTTTGTCAGATTGCACTACCTGCTTGAAGCTTTGTGTTAGAATAGATCTGGAGAGAAGATAGGAGAGAAGGAAAAGAGAATACCACCACTTCTGTTTGCCTGTTTGCTTGGTACTTTGGTGAATACTTTCTTTCCACTGGTGTAGATTTAGTGGCTTCTTTATTAGGAGTCAAACTCTATGTTGCATATGTAAAGCTCCACATATATATATATTTTTTTTTTATTAAGGCTCTTTAATTGTGTATAAGACAGGTTATGTCACTCTTTCTAAGTAAAAGTCACAGCTTTCTCTTCAGTCAGTTCTCTGGGTGACATCTCTAGAAAATGTGCCCTGCTAATGTATTGGTGCAGATGATGAGTGGACAAACAGCACAGGTGACTGACTAAGGAGAGGTGATCATTAATATAATCACAGCAAACTGCTTTATGGCTATTGTTGTTACCTTTTACTGCAAATTTTCTATCTGCTTTTACAGTTTGGGGTTTTTTTAGCAAAAACCACCAGCATCTGCTAGTTTGTTCCTTTTTCCTTCTTGCCAGTTTGTAAAGTATAAATGCAGAGCAGGCCATATGTGACTGTGTGGCTGTGCTCAATGTGCAGTGATTTTGTTTCTTAGGGCCTCTTGTTAATGGTAGATCAATTCATGCCCCATGCCAACATGGCATGGATAATTGCAATAACTACATGTGCAGTCATTGCATAATGTGTGGCACTTGGCCTTTCTGTAATATTCTGTATTCCATTAGAGGGTTTTCTGACTGCTGGCTTTAGTATACAGAGCTAACCATGGCTTTTAGCAGTGAAGAGAGAGATGAAGAGCTGAGTTTGAATAATATGTTACGTGAAGGCGTAATGGTATTGAATAGAGCCTGAATCCAGGGAGATGGAGAGAAAGAAAAGTAAGAGGACATAATGTCACATAGTTAATGAGAACAGCTGAAGAGGGCACAAAGGGAGAAGGCAGAGGCAGAATTTCACATGTTTTAAGTGTCTGGAAACGAGAGCAATCTGTGGTCTATTACTTTGGTTCTTTCTTATGGCTTCTGTCTCTTTTTACAAATATTTTGTCTATATTGTGTTCTGTGCAAGCACAAAAATCAAGCTTTTTCTGGAATTAAATGCTACTCTTACATCAAGCCCTTTAAAGTCTTTGGAACTTTATCCAGCACAAGCTTGCATTCAATTCAATAACATTAATTTTACTCCTCTGTTTGTATTTTAATTATAAAGCTGTTACAATGTTTAAATTACAAAATGTCCTGTACCTAATTGTTAATAATCTCAGTATTATCCTTGGGAGATGCATAGATGAACTACCACAGAGTGATAATGAGGGTTTCAGCAATAATTGTTTCACTAAAACATACTGAGAGAATTAACACTTAATCTGAACCATCTAAACCAACCTTCAAAATCAGCTGCCTGCCATGCTTCTGTCATTCATGGAAACTCTGCATATGGATAATTTCCTACTTCCATTAGTATTTTCCTTTTAGCTAAGAAGATAGAAAGTGACCATGTAAGTCCTCAGGTACAGACTTCCTCACACCAAAAGGTCTGGACGGTGCAGTACAAACACTTGTGAACACTCTGTATGGTCTCCATATGTATGGCCTGCAATAGCTTGAAGCATTGCAATAAAGGACAAAATATCTGCAGTTTGTCTCAGACTGAGGCATTGCTAGCATGCTACTCTCTGAAGAATAAATAGCAGAATAGACTCATAGTTATTTTTAACTTTAGTGTGGGATTTTTCATAATATTGGGGGGCAGGGAAATTTTTAAAATTCATATCTTTAATCTGTAGTCCAACATCTCAATAAAAGTTCTCTGTAGACACTGAGGATCTGCAGCCCTTGGTGAAGTCAGGAGCAATTGTCAGTGATCTGAGACCTCCCAAAAAGTCAGGTCAGTCTTAAAATCTATACCAGGAGAAATGTTAACCTTTCTGCTTGCTACAGTGGAACTGAAGCCTATAGTTATGTGTCGGCTCATGTGCTGCCCCTCAGCTGAGTCACCTTGCTGAATCAGAATTTACTTGATCATAGAATCTCCTGAGTTGGAAGGAACCCACAAGGATCATCAAGTCCAGCTCTTGATCCTGCACAGGACAGCCCCAAGAATCCCACCATGTGCCTGAGGTTGTTGTCCAAATGCTTCTTGAGCTCTGTCAGGCTTGGTTGGTGCTGTGACCACCCTGGGGAACTGCTCCAGTGCCCAACCACCTGGGTGAAGAACCTTTTCCTAATATCTAACCAAACCTTGCCAAAACAGCTTCATGCCATTCCCTTGCAATTCTGTCACTGGTCACCAAAGAGAAGAGATTGGTGCCTGCCCTCCCACTTCTACCCCTCCTATTGGATGCCCCTTGGCTGTTAATTTAGCACAATTAGACATTTTTAGCCATGATATTCAGAAGAAATCTTAACTGTTTGCCTATTTTGACTGTTGTGTGACATATGCAGGCAGCTACAAACCTACTGCTAAAGCACCAAGATGCACAGCTCATACTTTTGCTATTTGAAGAATGAGTCAATGAGAGTATATTAAAATTAAGGCCAAATTTGTCTGAAGGAGGCAACATATACAAATGTTATCTTTTAACAAAATGATTACTTGCAGCTCAAGGCAGAGAAATGCAAATGTGGGTCAGAAAAAAAGTTTGAAATTGCAGACTAAGAAATGTTTTGTACTTTTAAGGGTTTTTTTGTTTGTTTTTTTTTTGCATTTTATGTCAAGCTGGTAGAGATACCAAAACACTAAAACAACAAGAAGAGGAAGAAAAACAAAAACCAAATTCTCACAGCATGTTAACAGTTTTCTTGAAATGAATAGTGTACTTATTCTCTTAAAAAGCTTTTGGATATTATCAAGAAAATCATCATGCCTTATAACAGAAACTTTTCTAGATGTTGCATGCATGAGTGACCCAAGTAATTGAAAAGCCTACGTGAACGTATTCAACAGTTTGTGAATATAAGAAATTGAACTGAATAATGAGAATTTAAGGTACTGTGCAACTCTCAGAGGCTTGTGTGACAGAATCCCACAAACATTTCAGATTTGCACTGGAATTTCCCATAAGACTGGAAAGGACCCCCAAGATTATAGAGTACAACACATATGAAGTTATACAAAGGCTTTAACTATATCCTGTGTTTTTTGTGGTCTCAGGAGATTTCAGGAAGTCTTGGGTGGTTTACTCATGATATTACATTTCTCAGACAAAGCATCCAATTTTTGCATCTCTCATATTTTAAAATCAATCAGACTTTCTGGCTGTCAAAATGGCTTTTTAAGTTGCTCTATTGGGAGTTTCCAATTTGGGAATTTCTTCAAGGTACTTTTTGTATATGTGATTGAAATATAGATCGTTACTAAGATTTTTTAGAGGATTTTTATTACTCATACTATTGAATTTTACATATATGGAAATATAGGCAACTTCAGGCTTGTTAATTTGACCCTAATAACCTTAGAAATATTTTTTAAGGAATAAATAATTAAAGACATGGGAATTGAGGGGAGGAAGGATGAAGCACAATCTATTTTTCTAAGATAGGTCAAACTGGCCTAGTATCTTTTTTTAATAAGAAAGTAGGTTTTCTAGAAAAATAAATGGGCTAGATCTGGTCTCTCTGGATTCTACTGAGCCATTTAATATGGTGTTGCAACAAAAATACTGTTCAAGGTGGAGGAAGATAAGGTTAGTGTAAGAACTGTAAACCCACCCAAAGAACTGCCATGAGAGAGACAGAAGGAGGTAGATATATATGATTAATTATTCTCTGGGAGTTGGCTTGTTTAGTTTTCTTGAGGCTTTTTTGTTTGTTTTGTTTTGTTTTTTTACTGCAGTTGATATTGTTAGCATGCTGTATTGAAAGCAGGCTGTTGAAACTTGTGGATGGGAGGAGGATGTTAATTTCTAGTGCACAGTTTTAGATGGAGTGACTATACAATTAATTGGACAATTAGATAATACTAAAGGGATGGAATTCAACCCAGCAACGTGTCAGGCCACACATTGTCATGAATTCTCTTACCCAGTTTAACCTTGATATCAAAATTAGCAGTATGACAGTCTGAGCTCTTATGTAATCAACAGAAAGAGGCAGATTTTTAATTAGGCACCCAACTCCTGCTTTCTGTCTTGACTGTTAACAGAGCCTGGGCACCTGACTCTGGCATCAGTGCTGAGTGCCTGAAACTGGATGGTGCTACAGCTTCAGCTTAGGAAGTAATGCAACAACTTTTCCTATGAAGAGGGAGTTCAGCAATGGAAGATTTTGAAGGAGAAAGGCCTATATGAGGGTAAGTGGGTTTAAGTTTGTCTTTAGTCTGTCAGTTTGACATCATCATGAAAATGATGTATGGGGTACAGGCAAGTACCCCATGATGTATGGGGTACAGGCAAGTCAAAAAGAGGTATTTCCAGTTGAGGGAGGGAATCTCAGCTGGGTGCATCTGGGCTGGGACCTGATACAGCATAAATGTGCAACACCTCTTGCAGTGTCTGAGAAACCTCACCTCAGTATGTGATACAGGCAGAGAAAACTGAAAGAGGGTGGATTTAGATTAGATGTGAAGAAGTTATTTTTTACAGTGTGAGTGGTGAGACATTGGAACAGGTTGCCCAAAGAAGCTGTGGATGCCCCATCCCTGGGAGTGTTCAAAGCCATGTTGGATGGGGCTGTGAACAACTTGGTCTAGTGGAAAGTCTCCCTGCCCATGGCAGGTTTACTTGGTCTTTAAGGTCCATTTTAACTCAAACCACTTGGTGAAAAACTGCAGGGATGATCAAAGAACTTATGTTACAAGAGGAGTCTGAGACAGCTGTGTTGGGTATGTCAGGAAGACTGATAAAATGGGAAATGTAATTGCCACAGCTCTGCTGCTGGAGTTATGGGGAGCATTGAAATGTGGCTGATGTCAGCTAGGTTATAGCCAACAAGCAGGATGTCTGCAGAGGACTAATGCAGGTCTATGTGCAACATTATGGTATTGCAGGAAGATTATGATACCAAACCAGAAGTGTCTACTTGTGTGATTTAGAGGTGATGTGAACTGAATATATGGCATGTCTTACTGATTGAGTTTGTGCATTCACATAGCACGTGGATAAAATATTTAGCCAACATAGAATGCATAGTGATAATTGCATAATACATGACAGTAATCAGTAGGAGAATGCTTTATGTAAAATTAGGAGCAAGCTTAAAGATTTATAAAGGTCAGTGATTGCTTGGATTCAGCAGGACTTAGGCTGTGTGGGCTGCTTGTGCTTTTTGATAACTCCTATAGTGTAATGCTTACTGTCTGCTGTATTGCCCTACAGTTCCCCTGCACAGCACATAGAAAACTGTGTGATAAATCAGGCTTTGAGTGAATTTGTAGGGCTGGAAAAAGGCATGTTTAGTTTAGCCTGTGACAAATACACATTTAGAAGCTGACTGCTGGGTAGCAAACTCATGACCACTGAAAGAAAACCTTGCTCTGAAGTGAAAACTGTGGTTGTAGATCCCTGATGTGCCTGTAGTGACAAATGATGGGTGCAGCACTTACAGTCAGTGACAGCCCTTGCCCCAGATACCTCCTTATTTTGACAAACACTGAAATTTAAAATTGTATGTTAGTGAAGAGCTGCCCTTTCCCTGGATGTTGGTTTGTCCCAGCATTGGGTTTGAAAAGAAGTTGAATCCTTTGAGCAATGGTGAGTAATGTGATTTCTGCTCTGTTGCAAATTCTGAGTTGCTCTAATTGGCTTTGCCAGCTATTAAGAGATTGATCAGGTTGCTCTTTACCAGAAATCTTCACAAAATAGCAGGAGGAAAATACTGCAGCAAGAAACATTTTTAATGCACTTCTGGTAGCACTGTGTTTAGTTCTCTAGTTATTTGTTCATTAATAAGGGCTCAGCCTGGGAGTCTGAGGTTTATAAGTGCTGAGAAGAATATCAGGGAAGAGTAGTATGGCTTCTCTTTTTTCTCCCCTTCTGCTTTGTAATTAATTATTTTATAGTGGTACTACGTTGTTATTGTTCTGTGGTAAAAACAATTGTATGATGATCTCACAGTCCTTACTTGGAAAGTTGCCACAGTGAAGAAAAACTCTGTTTATGCACTGAATTGTCAGTAGTTTGGAAGGGGGTTGTTCTGCTGGAAACAGTGATTTGAATAACAGTCCAAGAGGAGGGATGACAAGGAGGGGAGGATTGAGAAGATAAGTGTGAAAATGTGTCAGAGCTCTTTCAGATTTATTTTTTATTAGAGTCATGGTCAACTACCTTAGATTTAGAATCTGTCCCAGTTTATATGTGTCTTTTTTTCCCCCTGTATTCTAGGTTTTATTTAGCTCCAAGTCATGTTTTTCTGGCTAGTAAACTGGGGGTTTGTTTTGAAAATCTGTCTAAGCCTTTTCCTGAGAGACAATACTTGGAGCATCTCAGGCCTGCATGGCTGTCACTTGAAAAGATGCCCAGAAAAACTGGAAGAACATCACTGGAAGATGTTTCTGGAAAAGAAAGGATTATAAGGTCTGAGGGAACCCACCTCTAAATTTCAGGAAAAAGGTATCTTACAGTCATATTGGGGAAGAAGAAAGAAGAATTTGCAGCAAACCCAGATTCATTGTGTGTGGGAATGGGCAGTGAGGAGGATGATGGTGGATGATCAAATAAGCACAATCTACTGCTGCAGATCATTACTAATCATGAGATGCTGGAATGCAAATTTAATCTTGTTTCATAGTCTCTTAAAATAGCTGTTTGAAAGTTAGAGAAAATGACCTTTTGAAGATTCCTATATTTCCCTACTCAGTTCTATCTAGTTGCCTCTTTTGCTTAACTTCAGTACAGTTCAGTGAAGTGAATCCCATCCCAAGACTGTGCCCCTTACTTAACCTTTTCATGGTTTAATCTAGGTAAACACTGTACTTATGCTTTGTTCACACAGATGCTTAAACAGTAATAAAAACCTAAATATTTTTCTACAACAAAACCATGTGAACTAGTGAACTGTGTCTCTGCTGAACTGTGCACAGTAGCAGAGAGAAGGTTGTTCCAACTTACTTGCATATTCCATCATGATTGTTTTAATAGTATGTTTGCTGTTAGGACAGGATATATGCTATAAAAAATAAAACTAAGTTTTGCCAAGGTATTTTGGTTGTTTGTAGTCAAACATAGAGATAATTTATTCTTGAAATGTGTTTATGTTGATTTTGTTTTGAAACAAGAATATATACCTTGCAGAATATTTATGTTCATGATCATTCTGTAATTTCCCTATTAAAAAACGCCTACACTTAATGCAGTTCCTGCTAAATTTTAACCCCAGAAATGTTTAGAATGTGAATATAAAATAATCTGAAGGATGTATTATAGTACAGATCTCTGTAGGAGCATATTATCTTTGAAAACATTTTAATAATAATCTGTCTGAAATGATACTTTTTTGCCTTTTCTCCATTTTAGCATGAGCAAAGAAAGAGTTTTAAGAGTGCTGCTCAGCTATTAACACCAAGCTATTTTTACTGGGACTTTTGAGCATTGATTTGATGTTTCTAAGTGGAGGCATTTTTCACTTGTGGTTGTGCATGTTCACTTTGGAGACTTTCCTTCAGTCAAATCTGCTGTGATCTGAGACATGGTGGTTTTTGGAGTTGTCCCAGGCAGCTGCCAAATACTTTCAAACATTCAAAGTGGAGGTGTAGAGAAAAACAGTGGTGTGGAGGAAATTCCAGTTGTGAACATACATAGGTTTGGTATAGTGTCCTGAAAGCATCTTGGGATAGTGGGATTGATGGGGCAAAAAACTTGCCATAGAATTGCAATTATTTATCAACATAGTAATTTTAATGTTTCTGTAGTTACTAAAAAAAAAAAAAAAAAAAAAAAGAAAGCCATCACTGCTTTATTTCATTATTATTTTGTAGTTTATAGACTGAAGAAATATGAACTAGGTAAAAATAGAAATTAGAATTTAAGGGCATTTAACATATTTTTAACAATAAGTTAGGGGATAATACAAAATTTTCAAAGTCAGCAATGATGCGCTACCAAACAGATGAGCTCTTTGCTCATCCTTGCTATTTCAAGGATGAGTTCTTTAACTGTGTACTTAAATGGCTTTTGAAGATAAATTCTGAAAAAAAGTCTTTCTGAATATTTAAAACATGTGGCATGTATCAATAGTTTGACAAGTAGCATTTAGTTTCTTTGAATTACTTTAATAATAATAAAAAATTATAATAATTTCCTGATATTTCTCCATGAATCAGCTTCGAAAAACATATACTACTAGAAGAAAAGCTATTTCTATTTTGGATTCAAAGTAGGACAAATCAGCATTGTTTTGTGTGGTGCCTGTTGGTGCATTTTATCCTCAAACAATGGGTTGCATGTGTTAACCATTTGCTTTGATGGGTTAAGTAACAGTTATCAAGTCAACTCTGCCACACAGGGTCTTCTATTTCTTAGAGTAGGAAGGCTGGGAGATAAATGCTTTCAGATAGTATTTGCTATGGAAGGAGGAAAAAATGGAAAGAAAAAGGTTTTGAGGACTGTTTTTTTAAGGAAGCAAGCTCTGCTGGGAGCAAAAGTCAAGCTGAGGGGCAGAGGTTATGGATATGAAGGACAAAACAGATGCCCAGAGCACTGGGAATGAGTGGTTTCCATTGACTCTGTTTTGCTATGTGTTGATATTTATTCTACTTTAGGAGTTGGAGAAATGCACTTGGTTGTACTCCAGCTTGTCTGTAACTGAGAGTTTGGATATCTTGCTATGCAGTGAAGGGAAGAGGCAAGTGCAGACAAGAAATATCTTATGATTTTTCTTCAAGTCTTAAAGCAGCTTGTAACTGTCTCAGCACAGTTCCAGTCATCTGGTGCCACTCTTGTGGGTCTTGTTTAAAAACTGTACTTCTTCCCCTTCCCCAGGAGCACCACTAAGTACCAATGAGTACTTGGCATCCATTACAAAACATCTTTCATTAGACAAGACTAAATCACTTTGCTAAATAGGAGCCTCACAGAATAGGAAAGATCTCTTCTATGTGCAGCTGCATCCACCACTACAGAGATGACACTGGCATATTGTAACTTAAATGTTTGGGCTTTGAAGTCATTTAGCACAAAAGGGGTAAGATATCTCTTGTGCTGAGGTCAGTTTCCATATTAGTAATCAAAAACTAAAATCTGAACATGAGAACTAAAAGGATTTTGGTTTGTAAAAATGCCTGGAAAACAGGGCAATTACCACATAGTCACTGGTTTCCTAGAACTGAGGAGAAATTCACAGTGTATTTTGCCCTGT